ACGTTAGAATTAAATATGACTTAATCACCAACTAAAAAAAATTTGTTCCGTTCCCAACTTCAAAATTTTCAAATTGCCTGCAAAATGTCAGTTAGGCCATTTGCTCAAACAAACCAGAGGTCAGAATTCAAGCTCATGCACTTTTGTTACCAAGTGATGTTTTCTACATCGAGGGGAGTCGGAGAACTTATAGGGAAAAGACGATCACAACAATTCTGCAGAGCTGTACCTTCAGAGCCTATCAAATTGTATTCTATGGAGTTTTCAATTTTGAAAGGTCTTCTACAAGACTATGATAGTCCAAATTAAGGCGAAATGAAGCTTCAAAAGAGCTTTATTTTTCGATTTTTGGATTCGGTTTGAATACTATTCACTCGGCGTTTCAAGTCCCGAAGATCGAAATATATCCCATAGATTGATTTTCGAGCACTTATTCACAACGTCATTGGCGAGTTTCTTACTAAGAATAGACGACCTTGCACTCCAAAGACAATATAATTAATAGATTCTAAGCATTCCACTTGATCCTAACAAAGTGGAGATAATAGAACTGAGATCACTCAAGGGGAACTGTAATTGAAGTCATGCATGAAAAGACTAAGCAGTCTTTTTACATTCACGCCCCACAAATACCCAAAGACATTTTGGAAGTAAGAATATTGATTGTCCGAAAAGGCAGATTCTTGAATAAAATAGTTGTTTAAACTTAAATGATGAATGCTCTGGTAACAATTCACACTAAAATGACCACTGGAAATCCAATAGTTACCAGCGTTTAATGTAGTAAATATAATTTACTGTTCAAGTAATTTTGCTTTGCAACTGAATCATTGTTTTAATAATGTATTAACTTTTAAATACTGTTAATGATAAGTCGCGATATTTAGACTAATAAGATTAATCACTGATTGATTAAAAGTTCTTTTTTATCATTTGAGATTTAATGCTACTAATTTAACCCCCACTCAATGAAAGAATTATCAAACATTATAAAGCAGAATGATGGCTGTATAATTCTAAGACCTACGTCAATTTATTTCACAAATGAGATACTTTTAAATTTATGCTTTATACTTGAACAAGTATTTGAAATTGAATTAACCACACACGAAGATACATTAAGCGCAAGGGTGCCATATGACGATCGGCTTTGAAAATATCTTCAAAATGGCACTTAATAAATTGTGCTACAAAGTCAATTTTAATTATATGTATATACGTATATACCTATTTCTAAAATTATGGCAACTTCAATTAAATTTTAGAGAAATTATCCGAAATATTTGATGAATTGAAAAATAATTATCCCAATTTATGAACTTTGTAAAATTTCATTTGAAAATTATTGTACGGCTGAGACCTAATATAGCAAATAACATTTGCAGTACCTAACATTTCATATTTCAGTTTATTTATATTTAAATAAATGAAACACGTAAAATGCAATCTCACTGTTGCCCAATGCCACTCTAAGGGCAAAAGTAAGCACCCATGGGAAACCTTGATTTACATATTCAATTGGAAACATTCTACAGGGAAACCTTCACGGTGGAGGGCAGACAAATTCCCAATCCATTCCGGACTCACAAATTTGTCAAGTGAACGACTTTATTAAAAAACCAAGGACAACAAATAATTATGAAATTGTGACAAAAAAGAAGAAAAAAATGTTTTTGCCTAAGGCACTTTCATTTGATTTGCCTAAAAGGGATGCCAAGTGCGTTAACATTGAGTTTTCTCATCCATAATTGTATTTCAATAATTTTTTTTAGTCAAGCGTCAATTTCTAGAAAATTTTACTCCACTTGGAGCCAGCTAAAGTATCAGGCACAATTAAAATGGGCGCAAAAATGGGTGATATATTTTTTTTCAATGGCACTAGGTTTCATCGAATCTTTCCGAATGCACTTGATATGGGAAGTCAACGACGAACCGAATGTAATAGTTTCTGGAAAGTAGGCCAAAATCGGTTTAATTTTTCACTTAATTTCCAACTACCACAATACCGTTTACTTGTTTAAATCACTGGACATGTACCAATGAGCAAAGATTATTTATATCAAACGGCAGGCATTTTGATAGTTATCATAAGCCCTTTAGTTGACTTCAGGCTTCACAGAGAAGAAGGTACATCAAAGTGAAAAAAAGTCGAGAGGGGGAGGGGGGAACAGAAGAGTATTTCAAAGATGTAAAAGAGACAGACACAAAGGTAGAACAAAGGTGAGGTGAGTACTGTGAAATAGTCGAATATGACATACAGTGGGGTGATGGTAGTTTGAAGTGAGAAGTCAACTGCCAGTTAATAGACTTTTTTGCCGTATGAATATACGTTGCCCAGGGTGCACCAAGTGGAGGTAAGTCTATCGCATACCCCACTCGTTCAATATAAGTTTTCAATAACTTTCCCCGTGCGTGTGTGTGTGTGTGTACGAAATGATGCATTGGCTTCCACGCGATAAACAGATATCATATTTGCTATTTCCTTAAGACTTGAATTATTGCGGTCGTCAGAAGCCCTGTCTGAACGGAGGTATTTGCACGAACACCAACATTACATCCCAACCATTCCAATGCACCTGTCCACGAGGCTGGACTGGTGAAACTTGTGAGAAAAGTGAGTGCATTTATCGGTATGCGAATTAATACGATTGTTTCTGCATGCATTATAGATAAATCGATTCGATCTATTTAAGGATTGAAAGCCTGTGACTTACATCCCTGCAAACGTGGACACTGTCGGGAGACGATTGATGATGGATTCGACTGCGTTTGCGAACCAGGATGGCGTGGAGAGCTTTGTGATCAGAGTAAGTCCATTCTTAAAATTTTGATTTGCATTAATTTAATAGTTTAAAATGTAGCAAAATTTTATTAAAAATGTTCTACACGTAAAATTATATGACCGTTTTTATACAAAATAAGCACAAATATTTTATATTAATATATTATACTAATTTTTTGTTTATAAAATTTATCTATTTTATTCTACTTAATCAGCGAATTAATTTTCATGATATTTTTTGCCATAATTTAACTTCATCACCAGTTTTATAATCAAAGTCTTAGAAGAAAATGGAACTTTTAATTCCCCCAATATTTGGGGATTAACATCCCTGCAGAAGCACAACTCCGCCAAGTAATTAAGCAAATTATTTATGAGAAGTCTTATAGGCTTTGGCCTGGGTTTGATTAACTTCCATTGTGTGCGTCTTTGTGTCTTCCAGGTGACTGGATGAATTAATAATGAGGTGGCTGGCCAGTCTAATTGAGTTTGTCTTTCCTCATCATATCTTCTCAAGGACTGAATAGTTATGGCAGAGTGGACGTCAAATTTGATTGAATTCCTCACTGACGGTAAATTCATAAGTTAAAATAATGAGATTAAGAGGTTTTTTTTAGAAATTTGGTTGATTGGCATTATTGTTTCTTGCGCTCGGAAAATCAACACCATAAATTCAGGGGATGCTAAACAGCCGAATAAAAGGCGACAGTCATAGAACTGGAAGACGCCAAGGAATATATAGCGAGAGGGCAAATTCAGTCAGCTATCGAGCTTTGTGGAAAAATTGGTGCCTCAGTTCTTTCAATTTAAAGGAACACATGAATAGTACTCTGTTAATCTCAAATAGG